AGGAGGACTCATCTCTGGATCGGTAGGAGTTGCATGTTGCTCTTCATAATCAGACCCAGAAGCCATTTGTTGGAAGTATTAGAAAATACAAAAGATTATAGGATAGTATATTCCTGACTTTTTGGACACCCCTAGATAACCCCCAAACTTTGAAAATAGTGGAAACTCCCGCCCCATAACTTTGAGATTTTTGTTGTGATGGTTTTAAGGGGGTTTTGATAAAATCTAAAAGCTATAATCTATTATCTAATAAAATCTAAAATTTAATGGATCCTGACTTTTTGGACACCCCTAGATAACCCCCAAACTTTGAAAATAGTGGAAACTCCCGCCCCATAACTTTGAGATTTTTGTTGTGATGGTTTTAAGGGGGTTTTGATAAAATCTAAAAGCTATAATCTATTATCTAATAAAATCTAAAATTTAATGGATGTTGTGTGACAATCCCTATACTTATGGAGGGCTTTGTGATATTTTGAAAGCTATAGGAGATTATCTAATAAATCGTTCAAAGTTAAGAAGGGCGTTTCAATATTTAGCCTTTAAACAATTCCCCAATTGTACTATTTATCATTTGTTCCCCAAATTAACTTATCTGTAGTTTTCTTCTCTTGATAACTCCTCTTGAGACGCATCATAGCTTGAAGAACCAGTGAACAAATCTGAAAAGAGCTTTCATGGTCGCTTGCAAAGAAATCGAGAAATAAAAGAGGGAATTGATGAAAAGAAATGGGGGGAAATTGGCTCAAGTAGTCATAAAATATGACATACGACAATACATAAGAATATTTTCTGGAGAATAAACTAATAGAACGTAGTAACATGTTAAATTTGAACAACTTAAGATATTTAAGTATAAAGGTGATGAAACAATACCATAATTAAGTGTCAATAATGGAGAGATCACTACTTTAGATACAACCATTCATTGTTTAATTAACAATTACAATTCATTTTCTTAAGTGTAAAATAGGAATGAGCGAAATTCATGAATACATGATAAGTATTATATTTAGAAGAATCACAATTATTTATAACCCCCGTTGAATAAATATAACAGTTGAAACTGCTATATGCCTCTAGGTTTTCTTGTCCACTCATCATAAACAAAAACAAGAATGGTTGTCAACTAACAAAAAACGGATACAAGAAAACATTTGTATAATTCAAGATAAAACCAAGAACAGTTGTCGTAAAAATCAAACGGGGGATTAAAAAAAGTTCACAATATGCATCACTTAAATGATTATGTGCCCATGTTTAAATAACCACAGATAAAGACTTGTAATTCCCAAAAAATCATCCAGGTCCTAGCAACAAAAGAACCGTCCCGCACACAGATATCACAGGGGGGGGGGGGAGGGGGGGGGGCGGTGGGGGGTTCAAAAGTGCTGAAACTTGCAATAGTCATAATAGGCCGCATTGTGGTTAGATCTACAGACAGATGAACCCTCGTGGCCTCGTGGTTCTTACAAAATTATACAGCATTCCGATATGATCAGATCTACAGTACTATCAAATAAACCAATATGATTCTTGTTAGACCCTAGAGGGGGTGATTAGGGTCTTATGCTAATCTAATCCGATTAAATGCCAATTTAATATCAATTAATAAGTTATCCTAGCAAATATGAAATACAACAAGATATGTAAGCTAGGATAAGCAATATGAACAAATGAATATATCCTATCAATGAGAAATTACAAGTATATGAGCAAGGATATATAAACTCAAGGGTAAACAATCTAAACTAGATAGTGGGCAATATAATCAACAAGCAATATACAAAGGCGATATAAGATATGAACATAAAAGTAAGTGCGCCAATGCAATCACAAACAAACAATATGATTACGGAGTTCGGTCCCCACGACCTACGTCTCCGCTCCTCACCTCGAGGAGATCTCCACTATTTCAACCGGGTTTTCTACGTTCACCCGAACAACGTTTACACCTCACAATACAATCACACTTCACACACTAAGTGTTGGTCCTAGCCCTTGTCCTCCTCCTCAAGTGCTCGGTTACAACCTCTCCCTAGGCACGTCAACCGACGCCACTCCTCTTGGATTCGACCCCGTCTCTCACCACACACTTCTCTCGGTGTACAAGTGTATTACAAGTGAATCCTCACAATAAGCACAATATAAATCAAATGATTTGTTCTCTAAACAAGGTGAGAACTCAATTAAGCTCACTCTCAATGTCACAAACCCACAACCCTAAATTATACTATGAATGTAAATACAATAAGCTCAATAGGTTGTGTGTGATCAAAGAGATAAAACAATATAAACTCAATATGAAATCTAGCTTATGAAATTAAGAACAAACTTATAAAATGCTAGAATTGAGTTTAAGGAAACTTCTCTATAGATGACAAGAGAGAGGGAGAAGAATGAATGCTCAAACACCAAGGATGATCTCCACTTGCTCTTGTGAAATTTGCTCCACAAATCAAACTTTTGTAAATGCTTAAAAGCTTTTTAAACAAACACTAAACCCTTAAACAAAACTTGTAAACCTCTTAAAAACTTTTCTCTAGTTAAATGGGAGAGGTAAATGTAATGGAGTATTTATAACAACCCAAGACATCAGCCAAAAACCCCAAGAAAATGACAAAAACAGCCCCAGCAAACAGCTCAGGAAATAGCCGTTGGGAAAGCAACGGTAATATGGGCGGTCGACCGGAAATTTTATCGGTCGACCGACGGAGAGCAAAAACCCGAAGAAACGATCTGGACCATCGTCGGTCGACCGGTGCGGTCGACCGATGGAGCTTTCGGTCGACCGGACCGGTCAACCGACAGACTCTCTGTCGCCCAGTGAGGGTCGACCGGTGCGGTCGACCGAAATCTGACATATTCAAAAATTGTTTTGCTGATTTTAAAACGCTGTTTAAAAATATCAAATAAATTCCAAAAAATGTAAAACTTTGGGGAATGATTGTAGACATGATAATAAACATGCTACAACGACTGGTTTCGAAAAAGGACTTCCCAAATGAAAAATATCATCATTTTGCAAATATGTTCAAAAACATGAAAACCTGAAAATTGATATTTTGATATTTTGACTTAAACAACATTTTGAAACCTTATGAAATGATTGTATAGACTTGATAAAAGATATAACACGTTGTTATGAAGTCTATAACCTAGAAATACAATATTTTCATAAAATTGCATATTCTATGCAATATATTCAAAACACTAAATATGATTTCATTAAATATAAGCTTGTTAAAGGTGAAATCATATATAGGCATATAAACATGAAACAAAATAGTATTTTCCAATTTTATTCATTTGTTTCATATATAAACTCGAAAATTATTAAACCAAAGGCATGTATGTATATATATATGTGTGTAACTGTATATATACAAAACCAAAACCAAAGCGTGTATGTGTATATATGATTGAGCTTAAAGTACTAACACACATAATATAAAACCTAAAACTAATTTACCCAAGCTTGATTGGTCTTCAATATGCTTGACTTGGTAATCTCGCGGATGAAGCTTGAACTTGATCTTTAACTTTGAATTGCAAGGCTTCACTCCACTATTCCGCCAACCTCCATTGGATATCATCGTTGAAGCGCATATTCCATCCTACCTCCAACATATTGTTTGCCTAGAATAAATATAAAACACAAACACTAGACAAATAATATTAGATGTAAATTGTTTGTAAATCATCATCAAAACAAGAAAGCCAACAATTCTTACGAAAATGTAAAGAAGAAGGTCAAAAGAATTGAAGATGCCATTATGAACAAAAAATGCACCCGATCAGAAGCGAACGCTAACCGAGTTCCTCATTAATTTCACACCGATATCAGCATCTCATCAACCTAAAAATTTGGGTAATAACTATTTCAGTCCTTCAATTTTAAATATAACGATTTGTTTTGCAATAGAAAAGAAAAAAACTCACTTAGCTTAAAGAAGTCCCCCGATAGTCGACAATATTCTTTTTTTAAGTAAATTCATAATGATTAATAAACAGAAAGTAAATCAACAGCAAAAACAAATCTCCTAAATTTTCAACAAAAATAATTTATTTTTGCACTCAAGAACAACAACAGTTTCAGAATCCCCAACTTTTTGCAATTTTGCAGTCTATTGAGAAAATAAAATGCAGAATTAGATAAAAGAAAGCTCCTAATTTCCAAGAAGATGGTTTCGGACGTTAACAATAATTCAAGAAAATTACTAAAAGAAATCTAAGTGAGAGTTGACTTTACCTTGGCATGGGCTCAACGACCTCGACCTCCTCCTCCTTTGCCATGGTGCTTCTGCCGATGATCTTTGACTTCCGGCTTGAATTTGAATTTGTTAAAGAAAATATATATGAGAGTAGAATTATCATCGATTCCCAAAATCTGTGCCCAACTAAATTTGATAACCATAGAATTAAAACATGAAATCTGTTAACCCTAAAACCAAATAATAAACCTAATCTCAAAACACGCAAATAAAAATCAAATTGCCTCTATAATAAGAATTCGGTTAAAATTGACTCTATAATAAGGATTCAGTTATCTTTATAAATGCATGTATTTTATAAGAATATTTTTGTCTACTGAAAGATTTTTCCGAACTCGTGCTTTTAAAGTGAGTATGATACAGTACTTTAGCCTCTTTAAAATACATCATACGTATTCAGATATTATTTCTGTACTGACAATACACAATATGTTAATGTCACACCAATTGCATGAAATTTTTACGTTGTAGATTCACATTTTGCAAGGCTGATATATGCAAAAGCCCCCCTAGAGATAGAGCAGCAAAAGTAGTAGGTTCATAGAGACAGAGGGCACAGGTCGTAGGTGCACCGGCGGGTCCAGCGGGGTCAGTCCCGCCCGCATATAGTGGGCCCTACCGTAGGCCCTTCCGAAAGCACAGCTCACGTCTCCTGTCCCACCGCCATTTTTTGTGTTGCGTCTCCTCTCTCTGTTACGCCCCTCGACCCCCCCCTCTCTCCTTTTTCACGCACACTCACTCACTCTCTCTCTACTAAGCCCAGCGTTTATTTCTCTCACTCCCTCTCTCTTAGCACAGAAGTTATAGAATGTAGAGAGAGAGAGAGAGAGAGAGGAAACTTGTTATGTCTCTCAAAATGAGAAGGAAGATGACGAAGCTTCTCCTCATATGTACGATGGCGCTGCTGTTAACAAGCCTTTCCTCCTCCTCTTCTCCCGTTAATCTATCTGATGAAGGTTTTCTCTATGTCCTTCCCCAAATTTGACTGCATTTTCTCTGTTCTCTCCATGTTTTAGCATCTGGGTCTCTCTCAATTTTCACAGGGAAGGCTCTGATGTCCATCAAAGCGTCGTTCGACAACGTAGCTAATGTTTTGTTGGACTGGAGTCCCGTCGCCGGCGGTGGTGATGGCAGCGGTAATGTTACCGCCGACGACCACTGCTCTTGGAGAGGTGTTTTTTGCGACGGTGTCACCTCTGCTGTTGTTTCGCTGAACCTCTCGAACTTGAACCTTGGAGGAGAGGTTTCTCCTGCTGTTGGGATGCTGAAGAGCTTGCAGTCCATGTAATTTTTCTGCTATATTTTGGGTTTTGTAGATTTCGTACTGGGCTTTTTTGATGGGTTTTTTTTTGTTTTTTGTTGGGCGAAGAGATTTGAAGGGTAATCGGCTTAGCGGGCAGATCCCAGATGAGATTGGGGATTGTGCTTCTCTAAAATACGTGTAAACTACTCTGATCTTCTATTTTAATCATGGGTTTGTTCTCTTTATTATTATTATTATTATAATATTTATATTCGGGAATTTTAACTGGTTTTTAATTTGACTTCGCAGAGACTTGTCAACAAACTCTCTTTATGGGGATATTCCCTTCTCTCTATCCAAGCTTAAGCTTCTTGAGGAGTTGTAAGCGTCTACATCAATTACAACTTCAATTGCATATTTCTATTTTTAGGCTGTTTATCTAATCGACTATTTGTGGATGCAGGTATCTGAAGAACAACCAGCTGACAGGGCCCATTCCTTCAACGTTGTCTCAAATCCCAAATTTGAAAACATTGTGAGTTTCTAGCAATGTTTTATTTGTGAGACCTGTTCATGTTTCTTTTTGTTGTTAAAAATATTAAACTTTTTTACTAATTTTCTCCGTGATTTGGAACAGGGATTTAGCACAGAACCAGCTTACTGGTGACATTCCGAGACTTATCTATTGGAATGAAGTGCTTCAATACTTGTAAGAAACCAGTTCTTATCGTAATCAAACTTAATGTATATCAATCAATTGAGTAACATGTACTAAACAATTTCTTGAACTTCAGAGGTCTGCGTGGTAATTCTCTAACCGGTACTTTGTCGCCTGATATGTGCCAACTGACTGGCTTGTGGTACTTGTAAGTAATGATCGATTCCCTCGTATTTTTCTAAATTGCTTGTCCTTTTGCTGACTCATAATATTTTTTTTTCTTGCAGTGATGTGAGGGGAAATAATCTCACAGGACCGATCCCTGATAGTATTGGAAACTGCACTAGTTTTGAAATCCTGTATGCGACTTTTCCTTGCATTTCATTTTCAATAATATATATAGATAGATGAATGGACATTTTTTTTACAAACCACTGAGTTTTGAACTTCAGGGATGTATCTTACAATGATATAACAGGAGAAATTCCTTACAACATTGGGTTCCTCCAAGTGGCAACGCTGTAAGGCTTCTCTCAACTTTTGTTTTCCGCCCCCCCTTTTAAATTCAAACAATATATTAAACAAAAGGATGGAGGTACCTGACAACTGAAACAAATTCACATGAAGGATATTAGGGCATGAAAGGAATTGGCTGAAGAGAAATGTTAAATCAAAATTAACTACACAATTTATTACACGTTTTTCCATTAATAATTTACTGACTCTTTTCTCCTTTCCTCAGAATTTTTTACTTGTTCTACCGCATTGAATGGCTTCCATGATTTTGCTCCCTTTTCTTAATTCAAACAAGATATTGAAATAACAGGATAGAGGTACCTGATAACTTATATACTTCACATGAAAATTATTACAACATGAATGCAATTGCCTGAAGAATAAATCAATGTTAACTGCCAATTCATTACGTGATTGCATGAAACGTTTGCTGACATTTTTTTCGCCTATTTTCTTCAGTATTTTTTTACTCCTTTTGCACTGAATAGTTTCACGATATTTTTAGGTCTCTTCAAGGAAATAGACTAACAGGGAAGATACCAGAGGTGATAGGCTTAATGCAGGCTCTTGCTGTGTTGTGAGTATAATTACTTTGCTTTCAAGTTTACTTGCATTGTATCTCTTTTTCTGTTTGTTAATACCTTTGGTGCTCAATACCCTTTTTGAACGCAAAAATACTCACTATTGCAGTGAAACATTATCTAAGAGGAGCCCTGTATTATTAAGTCTATTTACTTGACATGTCAATTTATGCCTTAAGGCCCACAACTGAACTGTTTTTTTAATTTTCTACCCTAGTCATTACTATTTGGTGGAAAACGGGCTTATATTTTTTTAGTGCACATATAATTCCTTCTTTATGCACAGCAGAAATTCTGTTGTTAGGTTTGATGGTTTACTTCTTACCCGAAGGTTGTTTCTTTGTATAAATAGGATAGGATACTTTATTTATGACGGTTTGTTTCTCATTATAGCTGTAGGCTTCTTTCTTCACTTTGAAAGAAATGTTGCTAAAGCCTAATTTCTTCGTATGTCATTTCAAATCATTAGCTGATGTTGTAAATTGCGGATATAGATTAGGTTCGGAAAAAAAAAGTTTAAAGACTATTCTGACTAGAACAGTATTAGCATAATGTATATATTAGTTTCTCAAAATGGTCTAAGATACTATTCTTGTTGTGAATACTGGTTATTCTACTTATGTTATTGGTTCCTTTCAAACTTAGGCACACTTACACTGTAAATGATGTAGTATCTAACGACTAATGTAGTGGAATATACATGATTCTACCTATTTCTAAGCTTGTGGATTGGAACTTCTGTTAGATTGACATTATTACCTCGAAATAAATCTTCTAAGAGGCCTTAGAGATTTTATCTGATGATGTATTTTTCAAAAAAACTTAACAGTCAATTTATATCCATTAAGTTCTTTTTGGCATTCTTTTCTTTCCAGGGATTTAAGTGAAAATGAGCTAGTTGGTCCCATTCCACCCATTTTTGGTAATCTTTCTTACACTGGAAAATTGTAAGTATTAGAACTTTGCTACATTGGTTTACATTTAAGCAGAATCTACCGCTTCTGTTAGTGTGGATTCCTCAATTTTTATATCTTGTAGGTACCTTCACGGCAACAAACTTACTGGACCTATCCCTCCTGAATTAGGGAACATGTCAAAGCTTAGCTATCTGTGAGGATTTAAAATTTTTTACTTAAGAAACTATTTAATTATTTAGTTTCTTTTTAACCTCCAAATGAACAGACAGCTGAATGACAACCAGCTAGAGGGTACTATTCCAGCTGAACTTGGGATGCTAGAAGAACTATTTGAATTGTGAGTAAACAGAACCTGAAAATAAGAATCGAACGTTTCCACAAATAATAGTTTCGTTGCATTGGCTGTATTCTGATGAACTTCATCACTATCTTTTTAGGAACCTTGCCAATAACAACCTTGAGGGCCCAATACCTCAAAATATCAGCTCCTGCACTGCTTTAAACCAATTGTGAGATTCATTTCCTTTTGAGTATATGATATTCTCCTGGAAGCAAGGATTTGATCATTTTCTTATTATCTTATTTACAGTAATGTGCACGGTAATCGGTTGAGTGGTTCAATTCCATTGGAGTTCCAAAACTTGGAGAGTCTGACATATTTGTAAGTTTCAAGCATGATCACTCTTTTCATCAAAACCCAGAGACTTCTGACTATAAGATGATGCGATTTATTTGTTCACATAACATGCTGTAACATGAATTTTGATCTGTATTTTTGCAGGAACTTTTCATCTAACAATTTTAAGGGAGAAATTCCTGTCGAGTTGGGCAAAATTATCAATCTTGATACTCTGTAACAACCATCTTCTTTTTTCCCTTTTTGTTTCCTCAGAGACATACGTCTAGTTTTCCAATATATATTATTCAATCATAGAATTTATAGTCATGTTATGTTATGCAGGGATCTCTCTGACAACCATTTTTCTGGTAAGATTCCAGATTCTATTGGGGACCTTGAACATCTCCTTAAGCTGTATGATTACTGAACTTAAAAAGTCTTTTGTGCCTGATTTTGTGCTTAAGTTTGAATTAATTGTTATAACTGAAGTTTTCCTCCCTTAAATAGAAATTTGAGTGGAAACGAATTCAGTGGAGTTTTGCCTGCGGAATTCGGCAATCTCAGAAGTGTTCAAGTCATGTAAGTTCCCTCTTATACCTCAGTTCAAATGTCACCTCAAGGGTATATATTCTTTACTATTCTTAGATTCACAACGTAAAATATGGACGCCTGCAGTGATATATCAAACAACAAGCTATCAGGCACAATTCCTGAAGAACTTGGTCAGTTGCAAAATGTTGGCGCTTTGTAAGTCGCTCCTTTCCTAATGTACATTTTCTTTTTTCTGAATTGGAAATGTGCATATTAGTAAAACGAGCCTGACAACTAAAATTTCTGCAGGATTCTGAATGACAATAATCTATATGGAGAGATACCGCCTCAGCTGACGAGTTGTTTCAGTTTAACATCACTGTAGGTTTTATCCATCATGTTTGTTAGAAAGTTATGCATGTTACATCATCCTTGAATGGTTTAACATACTCAAATCTTCATTCAGGAACCTCTCATTCAATAATTTCTCAGGGGTTATTCCTCAGTCGAAGAATTTTTCAAGGTTTCCACCTGAAAGGTAGGAGGTGGTTTTATCTATTGTTTTTCTAGTATTATTTCAAGGTATTCTTTTCTGAAACAATTTAAACTATTTTTTTTCTCTAGTTTTCTGGGCAATCCTATGTTGTGTGGGAACTGGTTGGGATCCTCTTGTGGGTTAAATGTTCACGGATCAAAAGGTAACTAAAGAATTTACGGTTGAATATTTTTTTTTTGCCTGAAACAATCTTTTAATTCACAAAGTTTGATGTTTTTCTTGGCAGTTACTATCTCAAGAATTGCAATTGTCTGCATAATATTAGGGTTCCTTACTCTTCTCTCAATGATCATAGTTGCAATATATAAATCTAAACAGCCAAATCAGTTCATGAAAGGGTCAAACAAGACCACACAATGTATGTAATTTCCTATGCTCTACTTTATCTTTTCTCATGCAACCTCTAGATATCTTAAAATTTTTATTATATTTTGCAGCCCCTCCAAAACTGGTAGTTCTCCAAATGGACATGGCCATTTACACGTACGAAGATATAATGATGATTACTGAGAACCTGAGTGAAAAGTATATCATTGGTTATGGTGCTTCAAGCACTGTATATAAATGTGTAATGAAGAACTCAAAAGCAATTGCCATTAAGAGACTTTACAGCCATTATCCTCATAATCTGCGTGAATTTGAGACTGAACTTGAAACAGTTGGCAGCATTCGGCACAGAAACCTTGTCAGCTTGCATGGCTACTCCCTTTCTCCTCATGGAAATCTTCTCTTTTATGATTACATGGAAAATGGTTCCCTTTGGGATCTTCTTCATGGTATTAAATAAAATAACTCCAATATTTCCTCTTGTTACGTAACTTGTTTTGTTGATCATTGTGCATTGATAAGAAATTTATACATCATGCATTTAGGTCCATCGAAAAAAGTGAAGCTCGATTGGGACACCCGTTTGAATATAGCAGTCGGTGCAGCTCAGGGCTTAGCTTATCTTCACCATGATTGCAACCCAAGGATTATCCACCGAGATGTCAAGTCCTCAAACATACTTCTTGATGAGAATTTTGAAGCTCACTTGTCTGATTTTGGCATTGCCAAGAGCATTCCTTCTGCCAAGACTCACGCGTCTACCTTTGTTATGGGCACTATTGGCTATATTGATCCTGAGTATGCTCGGACTTCAAGGCTTAATGAGAAATCTGATGTCTACAGTTTTGGGATTGTTCTTCTTGAGCTATTAACTGGCAAGAAAGCTGTTGACAACGAGTCCAATTTGCACCAATTGGTAAGCATGGATCATCCATATATGTCTGTTATCAAATACTGTGATAATTCCTGGGGTAAGTTTCACTGAAGTCCCCAATATTTTTGGGGTTCTGCACAAAACCTCCCTTAACTTTCTAAGTCATAGAATCCCTTTGAACTTGTCTCATTTAAATATAATGACTGAAGATAGTTACTTTAACTTGTCAAGTGAGGAATGCGTGACAATTTTACATAAATTTACCCTTTTTGTGTAACTACTAAATTAAAAATGTACAGCTTAGACTTTATACTCTTTATCCGTTAACGCTTCACGTGGACGGGTATTGTGCAAAATACCCTCAAATTTCAGAAGCTTTTTTTGCTATTCAACCTGACTTCTTATCAAGACTCAGTGCTTTCTATCTATATTCAGATTCTATCGAAAGCTGATGACAACACGGTGATGGAGGCAGTAGACTCGGAGGTTTCGGTCACCTGCGTGGACCTTGGACTCGTCAGAAAAGCTTTTCAACTTGCTTTGCTGTGCACCAAGAGACATCCGTCTGATCGACCCACAATGCACGAGGTTGCCCGTGTTTTACTATCTCTAGTACCTGCACCAAGCATTAAGCCGAGTATACACCCCACTGAAGGAGTTGCTGACTACTCTTGCTTTCTCTCTGTTACGGATTCAAAAGACAGCAGCTCATCTGACGGCAAGTGGTTTCTGAGATTTGGGGAAGTCATTTCCAAGAATACTCTTTGAGTTGGTGAAACTTGTGGAAATCACTTCCGAAAGAGTACCGTTTACAGTTTTTTGTGAGATATGGTTAAGTGGGTAAAATCCTTATTTTTCGTTTTCACACAGTGTTGAATCATGTATTTCATATATTAGAGAACTTTATGAGTTGATGCACTTCAACATTGTATGTCTCTGGATCACGTGGTATGGTCTTGTTTGAAGAATTGGATCGCTGTGGGAGGTAGGATCTCGTGAACGCCATGAATGAGGACGCAATTAATGGCCATTTGGGCGTATGTGCGCCTTGAAGATCGTGGCTGTGTCCTAGCATTGAAAGGAACTGTGATTTATTGTTGCTGGGTCAATGATGCGTGCAGTTGGTTATGGTATTGTATGCGCCATTTAAGTTTGGAGCATGTAATGAATGTTTTTGATAGTGACTGGACAGCTACCAGAGTTGAGCAGTGCTGTGAGCTGGAAAAGGTGTTCTACCCTATTTATGTACGTGTACACCTTGTAGACGTGTAGGTACATTTTGAAAGTACTTTTTTTTTCCGGTTTTCTTTTTCTTTCTTTTTGTTTGAGCTAGAGAATCTTTTTAAAAGCTTAGGAATTTGAGCAGAGCTTTCTTTTTTATTCCTTCCAGATGTTATCTTAAAATTCTATGTTTATTTTGAGCTATTTAGATAAAGTACTCGGCCCATAATATTAGATGGGGTGGCACTAGAGGTACACCTCCAACTACATTTTGGGGCACACCCCCTCTCCTAGCTACAGTACACGGGGCCTATTTTAGATTTAAAAAAAAAAATTAAAATGAGTCATGTGCACTGTAGCTAGGAGAGGGGGTGTGCCCCAAGGTGTGGTTGGAGGTGTGTTTGTATGTTTTCCCTATTAGATGTGCATTAAGAGGACATCGGTTATCGGATTGATTTATGGTGCACATTTAGTGTTATAGGCTAGGGTTCAAGTGAATAAAAAGAGGTGCTTGAGTTTTAGGGTTTTTTCGCTCATACCCATCCAAATACTATATTTACAAATTTATCACTTACATGTGTATATTTACTAATTTACTTATTTGCATTTTATCTTTGAATCAATATCCCCGCCTCCTTACATTGTAGTTTTCTAAAAGAGTATGGATAAAATGACAGTTTCTCCTTTCACTCTCTTTTTAAGTCCTGAACAACTTAACTTGTGACGAGCCCGATGTACGGATAAAATGACAATTTCTCCTTTTGATGAGCCCGATGGGGACCTCTCAATTTGTATTGATATTTACTTGATATAAATTAGTGTGACATTAGCATTTTCCATTTAAATCGGTATTCATGGACTACATTATGAGATTCTTCATCGTTAAGGGACGAATGGCATCAAAATTTTTTCACACCCTATCGGAACTGGATCTTAATCCCTTCCGAAGCATGCTCGTGTAGTACCACAATTTAAATCTTGATCATTGTCTCGAGGTAGTCGAATCGCTCACAAGCCTACTCTATTTCACATACATAAACCTTCAAATTCTCTCTTAATATATTAAATATGATATTATACTCAGAGGCACTTGCATTTTTTGTCCATAAGCTAGTTGGGAAAACATGTACTCAATCATTCTAATTCCCCTTGCGCTCCCGTCCCAAACTTAACAGCTCCAAAGTGTCTTTTTCTTTCAACTTCACTCGTACGTGTATTAGTGACAAAATTAGATTACTAGCTAGCTGACAAATCTAACTGATAATCAAGACCTTACTCCTTGCATATTATACTGGAATTATAATGATTAGATAAAATCAAATAAAAAAAAGCCCGCCGGCGTGACCACATTTGTGTTAGATAAAATCAAATAAAAGTTATACAAAATCTGAAAAAAAGAAATAAGCAAGCCTGGTCTGATCGGAAGCAGTCGTGTAAACACTGTCCTACAAGATTAAGGACCCGCCTATTGTTCTTATGAACCCACGTGAATGAATTCACGTGAACGTGTGAAGAGGTGGTGAATTGTGGGGACCACATGTGTGCGTGGGTGAATAAGGCGCGTGAGGAGTTTGAGCTCGCAGCAATCCGCGTGAAGAAATCATGAGCACGTGAAGGCTCAGAACGTGGGTTTTTTTTGGTTGAGTCCAGCGAACAAAACTCAAGTCCAGCGGATAAACCGCAAGCCCACAAGCCCACCTGATTTTATATATAGCTATGTTTCTCTCCTAGGTTTTTGGTGCGGAGGCAGAGGGGAGAAAGAGAAAAAGGCGGCTGTGGATTTTTTTTCTTGGGCTTCGTGCAGAGGAGAAAAATTCTGTTTGGTGGCTGTTTTTGTGAGAGATTAGAGAGTTAGTTTGAGGGTTTATTTTGTGAGATTGTAAACCTATTGTATTTTCTCTCTAATAGTAGAGCTAACCCCTCCTTGCCCCGTGGACGTAGGCAGTTTGCCGAACCACGTAAAATTGGTTTGTTTGAGTTTGTGGCTATTGTAATAGTTTTTAGGATCCCTCGACTCGCAGTCCTAGAGCTGACGAGAGGAAGAGCTAATATCCCACTTTGATGAGATATTAGGCTTCAGATTCTTGTTCTCTTTGAGAAACAAGAATTCTTATCGATCTTTCTCTCTTATTGTGCACCAGAAACTCTGCCGAAATTTCCGCTGCGCACAACAAGTGGTATCAGAGCCCAGATTCCAGATCTAGGGTTTGGTTGGAGGAGTAGATCAATTTGGAGGCTCGTTTAGGGCTTCGTTGGTGATAAATGTGGGATCTTTTGGTAAAGACTCTATCTTTTTATTTTTGGATCTATTCTTCGTTCGTTGGTGCGTAAGATGTCGGGGAAAAAAGGTGCTTCGGGTGTCGAGGGCGGTGCTTCTGACGCAAAGACCATTCAAAGTCTGAATATCCACTCTATGAAGATAGATGTGGAGAAATTTAATGGCACAAACAACTTTGGATTATGGAAATGCGAGGTTTTGGATGCGCTGAACGCGCAGAATTTGGAGGATACATTGGAGTTAGATGGCAAGCCAGATGAGATTGAAGAGAAGGTTTGGAAAAAGATGAATCGAACGGCGTGTGGTGTGATTAGGTTTTGTCTGACTCAAGATCTAAAATATGATGTGATGAATGAGACTTCTGCGAAGAAGATTTGGGAGATTCTCGAAAGCAAGTATTTGACCAAGAGTGTGGAAAATCGCTTGCATTTGAAGAGAAGGCTTTATCGTTTCCAATTGAAGAAGGGAACCTCCATTAGAGATCACATGAACCACTACACAAAGCTTCTTGCGGATTTGGCGAATGTGGATGTCAAGATTGAAGATGAGGACAAGGCGTTGCTGTTGTTGAGTTCCTTGCCCGACGAGGAATATGAAACCTTCGTCCTTACTCTGATTAATGGAAAGGCATCTCTTTCGTATAGTGAGGTCACTGCTGCATTGGTGAATTATCAGCTTCGGAAGAAGGATAAGGAGACTTCGACTGAGTCGGTAGCAGAGGCGTTGGTCGTAAGAGGGAAGAATCCGAACCGGAAGAATTGGAAGTCACAGTCTAGAGTAGGGCACCCTACAATTGGAAAAGATCAGTGTGCTTGGTGCAAGGAGACTGGTCATTGGAAGAAAGACTACCCAAAGCTCGACGAATGGATGAAGAATAAGCAGAAGGAAAAAAGGGAAGCAGCCATCATCAGAAGCAAACATCGTATCGGATGGTAATAATTCTGACTCTTCTATTTATTCGCTTTCTATCAGTCCTACAGATAGCTATTCGGAGGAATCTGAATGGATATTGGATAGTGGTGCGACCTATCATGTGTGCCCTAGAAGGGAATGGTTCTCCAGTTTTGAGAAGCTGGTGGATAGTGGTGTGGTGTACATGACTGATAACCGTGCATGCCAGATCCTTGGGATAGGAAGAATTCACATAAAAATATTTGACAGGACTGTTAGAGAGTTAAACGATGTGAGATATGTTCCTTCTTTGAGGAAGAACTTGATCTCGATTGGAGCTTTGGTTGGAGAGGGTCTGAAGGTTCGTGTTGAGGACATGGTTCTCGAGATTGCGAGAGACTCTCGTATTTTGATGAAGGGCGTCAGGAGAAATAACATGTACTACTTGACTGGAGGTATAGTGGCAGGTGGAGAGCTGACGACTTCTGTTGATTTGACTAGACTGCGACATTTGGGGCTTGGCCATTCCAGTATTAATTCCTCACATAGATTGAAAGAGGGTGTGAAGACCTACAGTTTGAAGTCCAGTGAACATGTTGATGTGAGCAAGAAGACCGAGGTGAAGTTTGGCACCTCTATTCACCGTGCTAAGGGTCGTTCTGGAGGAGTTCACGTGGACGTTTGGGGGCCTTCCAAGGGAGCATCATTGGGAGGTAATAGGCGTTTGGTTTCCTTTGTTAGTGACTGTTCTAGGCGTGTTTGGGTTGCAACCAAATCTCCTTTGGAGAAAGTCCTAGTAGTATCCAACAAATTGAAGAAGTGTGTAATAGACAAAAAGGTGAAGGTACTCCATTCTGATGGGAGGTACAAGATGGACCTATTTCTGTATTGGAGCCGAGCTCACGGCATTTCGAGACACTTCATTGGAAAGGAAATCTTGGGGCAACTAGATAGGTTGGAAAATTTAGAGAACCGTACCTTGCTGGAGGAGGAACGGTGTTTGTGGTCGAGCAATGGTCTGCAGAAGAGTTTCTGGACAGAGGCTTCGACATATTTGGGTCATCCTATTAAAGAGTTGTCAACTGCTGTGATTGGAGGTAAAACTCCATTGGAAGATAGGTCTAGTAGTGTCACTTTGGTTGAGGCTTCGATGAGGGAGCTAATTGACTCTCAGCAGGTGGAGAGTTTTGGACAGACCTTAGAGGTATCACAGCGGGTGGAGATTGATGCTACTCCACATTGGGTGGGGATTTTTCCACATACTTCAGGTCATTCTACATTGGTGACACAGCGTGGAAGTCATTTGGATTCGGATGCAGATGATGAGTTGGGTTTTGATTCGAGTGCAGCTGATAGATGCAGTTTATATATGACCATTGGTTCGCCTCAGGTGGAGGTGTTTGAGGCCATTAGAGGTGCTATCAGCCGCAGAGTTGATGATATTAGAGAAGGGTTGTGAACTCTTCTATTGGATTGAGGTCATTCGCGGCCATTTGGGTGAACTACGTAAGGCTTGATTCCTTGGGCAAGAGGATACGTAGGCAGTCTTTATGATGCAGCCGGTTTTGGATTTTGATGGGGGTGAGATCAATTTGTCAGCTTCGAAAGAAGGATAAGGAGGCTTCGGTTGAGCCGGTAGCGGAGGCGTTGGTCGCAAGAGGGAAGGGTCCAAACCGAAAGAATTAGAAGTCACAGTCTAGAGTAGGAAAAGATCAGTGTGCTTGGTGCAAGGAGACTGGTCATTGGAAGAAAGACTGCCCAAAGCTCGACGAATGGATGAAGAATAAGCAGAAGGGAAAAGGGAAGCAACCATCATCAGAAGCAAACATCGTATCGGATGGTAATAATTCTGACTCTTCTATTTATTCGCTTTCTATCAGTCCTACAGATAGCTATTCGGAGGAATCTGAATGGATGTTGGATAGTGGTGCGACCTATCATGTGTGCCCTAGAAGGGAATGGTTCTTCAGTTTTGAGAAGCTGGTGGATAGTG